CAGCATATGGATGGAGATGCAAGAAAACAGGACAGAATAGAGAATAGAAAGAATTGAAGTAGTGTAGACAAGAAATATCAGTGTGAAATAATTGCTGAAACAAAATTTGGGGAATTCAGATCCTTCTTCTAGATTTTGTTTATTTCACTCAAAATTGCTGAGCTCCCCTTCACGTTTCCCCCTATGTACTTGGCTCTAGGAAGATAAGAACAGACAAAAATAGAAAAAATTTTGGTGCAATTTATTTATTTAGCTTATCTTTTAACAGTTTTACTGAGATATGCATCATTGATGTTTTATTGTATATGGTATACAACTGGATAATCGAGCATACACATGTGTTATGAAATAATCATTGTATGTTTTTTCGTATTAGAATTGTTGTGGTCTATGAAATCTAGAAGTTTGGAAAAGTGTTTAATGTGGGGCAACTCTAAAAATAAAGCTTAGCATTACTCAGTTTTACTTAAGAAAGTTTTACTGAAGATCTTAGTTCTGCAGTCCTTGGACTGTCTTCAGATTTAAGCCTTGTTTTTCAACAAAGTGATGGTGCTTGAGGGCAGAAGAGTTCTCCATCCTCTCCAGCGTTCCTTCAGGAGTTGACCACACCACAGGAGCACATGGTGGACATTCCTGAGTGACTGAATCACGTGGTGGTTTGTACTTATTTTTGTACAGAAATGACAGTGAGTCACTGTCTGGAACTTGTCCCCAGACTTATAAATATGAAGACTTTGGAGCACTTCTGACTGGTCTCAGGTGGGGTGGCCTTCCAGGCTAAGGGCTGCAGGAACATGGCATAGTTTCCATTTTCTCTTTCATATCTCTGTCAGTCAGTTAGACTTCTAGGATTCTCTACCAGTTATGCAGCTCACTGGAATGAAGTTTTCTCCTTTTCGTTCCTAAGAAAAAGCACACAGGCTGTTTGCGTTTTGAAGTTTAATGCTAGTCTCTCCTGGTAAGCAGATATGGAACAATAAAAATGATAGACTCAGTCAAGTCACAAACTTTTCAGGTACAATTCCATACACTATATATATAAAAAATATATATATATATGTCAGATATATATGTTATATATATACATATATATATATATATGATATATAGAAACATTCAGAAGCCCTCATTTTATTCCTTAAGGGGAATTTGCTCTAAGTCTGGCATATCCAATCAGAAAAAGAAAATTAACGTCAGTTAAGTTAATTTAGGTATAACAGGCTAAATAATAGCCAACCAAATATATTAAGCTCTAATCCTAGGAGCCAGTAAATGTTTCTTTATATATAAAAAAAGAGTTAGTAGATAGGATTAAACTAAGGATCTTGATAAGGGATTATCCAGATGAGCCCTAAATACAATCACAAATGTGTCTTTAGAGGAGAGAGACAAAGGCTACTTTGATACACAGAGAAGACAAGCCCATGAAGACCAAGAGCAGAGAGATGGAGCCCAGGAATCCAGGGGCCCAGGACTGCTATTAGCAGCAGCTAGAAGAGGTGAGCAACAGATTGTCCCTGAGCAACTTGGGAAGATAGTCATCTTGTCAACATTGTGATTTGACCCAAAGGTACCGATTTTGGACTTCTGGACTTCAGAACTGTGAGAGAAGAAATGTCTGTTTTAAATCATGGAATCTATAGTACTTTATTACTCCAGCCTCAGGAAAGTAACACGAGCGCCCACGTTTTCAAGTGTTTACCGTTAGACCAGTGGGTGCTCCCTGTGCCATGCATGCTCACCCCACTCACCCTTTTCTAGTAGTTGACTGGCAACTGGAGCAGAAACTTCTGTGTTACCGGAAAGTTACGCATGAAAAACAGAAATGTGAGGAAAGCACAGAAAGAAGGAAAATATACTAACCATAAATCCTTCAGTTAATAAACATAAAGCGGAGTCCTGGAATAAAAACTGAACAAGCTAGTAGGCTTATCTTAAGAATTTTAGTTAAGCAAATTAGACACACACATGCACATAATTAAACTAGTGCATGGAAAATACAGTAATAATTATGTCTGTGCAGTACTATGAACACACTGAAGAGTATTCACTTATACCGTGAAGCTGTGTGTGCCGCAGCAGGGTGGGTTAGGAGAAGCTTCGTAGGAAGGCCTGACTCCAAGCTGAGAGAAAAGAGTGGAGGAACACAGCAGGCAGAATATGTAAACTTTCATTAGGTTTATTCCATGCATGTCACATTTTGAAGGACCTTTTAACAAACACTTTTTCAACAGATTCTGTGTTTATTGAGTACCAAGTAATAGGTCAAGAACATCTAATTGACATTTTAAATTTGCCACTTAAGGTTTTTTTCTTTTATTGTGAGTTATTTTCCTGGCCAAGGAGTGATTTTAATCATGGTATCTGAAAAATACTGATAGTGTTACAGAACTCTCTCACTTCTTTTGAGAGTACCTATGCCAAGCTCAGGAAAGATGCTACTTACACTGAACAATCTGGCTGAGAGAAAATTACATTGCATAAAACCTTTTTGTTGAATGCTGCTGCGTAATACTACAGTGCCTCTGTCCCTTGGAGATGGCTCATGTCGCCGGTTCCTTGCATGACAGCATAGCTCGATCTTGGGCCCCTTTTAGAGAGTTATAAAATAATAATGAGAAATATAATCAACATTTGTATAAATTGTATTATTTTATGAAAAGATTTTTAGTAATATATTTTGATTTATATTAAAACACCTTCCCCAAAATCTCAAGTGTTCAAAAGTGGTTCTTTGGGAGGGCATTGGACCCCGGGATGCTGTACTCATCCGTGGAGTAATCCATTGAGCTCATCCCTGAATACGCTGTGAGAGACACAGCCTGACCAGAGAGGTGGGTACAGGGCGTAGGTGCAGAAGATGCTCTTGCCTCCAGCTCTTCCCCTTCCCTTTGCATTTTGGGCTGTGGGAAGTCCAGCAGCTTTCCTCTCTCTTGCCCTCCACCACACCATTTCTGCCTTGAAGCCAGCTGATCATGAACTAAGAAATCATGAACCAAAGTAAATTTCTTAAATTATGTGTCAGGTATTTTGTGTGGGCAACTAAAATTCTGATGGATTCATAAGTCAACAATGCTCAGTCAGACCTTGGGCCGTTTTTTACAAAAACAAAATAATAGTGATAAATATAGTAATCAACAGTAGTACTGCACTTTATTATTTTATTAAAATATTTCATAAAATACAACTTTCTTAATCTTTTTTAGAGTGATTATTTTTTATTTTTATTTTTTTTGGTACCAGGGATCAAACTCAGGACCTTGCACTTGCCAGGCAGATGCTTATGCTGCTGAGCTACATATCCAGCCTAGCTTCATTCTTTCTGCTTAAAGTGGGAGCAGTAACATCTGTTTGAAGAACTACAATGAGAACTGAGATTCTGTACACTGAATATTGAGGTCAGTACCTGACACTTAGCAGGTACATATTTACAGCTGGATCTGATTATTATTATTATTTATGGTAGTGGCAGTAGTAGTGGAAATTAAATCCAAAGGCTTCACACTGAACCACATCCCCTAACCTATTTTTATTTTGCATTTTGAGACCTGGTCTCGCTAAATCACAGTTGTTCAGCCTGGGATCAAACTTGTGATCCTCCTGCCTCAGCCTCTCAGCACATACAGGTGTGTGTCTCCATACTTCTCTAAGATCCATTATTTTTACCTTTTCTCTGTTTTGTTGTTACTTCTCTGGAAGCAGCTGAACTTTTAACGACTGACTGTCTCTTATTTTACTATTCTTCGTTGCCTAACTCTTCTCAACACATTCCAGGCATCCATTTTGCAACCAAAACCTTTGTTTCCATCTCTTGGCATTAAAGCTCTAGGAGAACTAGTGTGCGCCGGAACGTAACCTTTTGCCAACAGCGATAGTCTTCGGTTTCTCCATGAGCGATTTTCCAGCACCTTTAGGCATCACGTGGTCAGTGACATTACAGCACTGTTTATAAATGATATCCGCTAACTTCAGAAAGAGTTGGGTTCCTTTTTCAATTTGGTCTTGCACGAAAATAGAACGGTAACATATTAAAATGAGATGACAGACTATTAGAAAGAAAATTACTGACAGGTTTTGTTTTTTTTTTTTTTTTTTTTTTACAAAGGGTCTCCCTGCGCAGTCTAGGCCTTGAAGTCACTATGTGGTCCACGTTAACCTCTAACTTGCAAAGATCCTCCTGCCTCAGTCTCTCCGGTGTTCTGATTCCAGGCCGGCACCACCACACCCATTTGGAAAGTTGCAATCATTAACCAGTTCATGAACTTAATTGTGATAAGTGCATTGCATAGAGTGCAGGGATGAGTAGTGTACTGAAAGGTATTTCGTCTTGCAAAAGAAAGAGCCATGGTGCACACTGTAATCCCAGCTATGACGAAGGCTGAGGTGGGAGGATTGTAAACTGGAGATCACCCTGGGCAATTCAGTGAAACCCTGTCCCAAAATAAAAAATAAAAGGCTCTGATGGCGTATTTTTTGTTTCCCCCCTCGTATACCCCGAAGCCATACAATTATGTTACTGGTGGTAAATTTTTTCTATTTGTTTGCTGTTTAATTTGAGAAAGTCCTTGTTTTAGTGAATCTTTATGGAACACCTATAAAGCATGAGACATTCTTCGGTGTGAACGGCTGGGCAATGTAGGGATGCATTGCTTTGGAGGGCGGGTCTTCTGGACCAAGGCCTACGCTTGTCCTACCCGTCCCTGGGCCTCTGCTGCGCGGCCGAGAGGGTTCCCCCCGCCATGCAGACTTTGAAACTAGGTGGGAAAGCACAAGTTCTGAAACAGTGGAAATCTGAACTGCTCCGAAGCCTGCGAGCATTACGTCAGCGTTAACCAGTGACTCCCCGGCTCTTTGTGTTCAGCGATGTCTTAAAAGTTTCCCTGGAGACCAGGTGGGGCGGCGGCGAGGACGAGCAGGGAGAGTTCGCGCGGACTTCGGGGCGGCCGGGGAGGTAGGGCGCGGCTGCGCACCGGGACAAAGGGGACCCGGCCCGGGCTGCTTCCGGCTCCGATCTCTGCCCCGGGCTCTCCAAGTGGAATTCTTTCGGGGGATCGACCGGCGCAAACCTCGGCGTGCGCGCGTGTGTGCGCGGGG